AATTGAAAAGAAATATATACCACCAATTTAGGAATTGTTGCCTTTTCTGTCATTAAACTCGGGTACAAATTGGCATCAGTAAAGACGATAGAACCAGAACTACTATCGTGGTCATACTTCCCTGAGCATTTTTCTGTGTTTTCTGTGCTTTCCTTTGATTAAATGTTTTATCTGTGATTTCTTTAGTTAACATTTTCTTGGGTGAACTTGAGTATACAACTAATTTTCATTAATTGATTGGATTCTCTTATAACATTAAAGTTTATATAAAGTTTTACACTGATTTAAAAAAAAAATTCAGAACCTTATGAATCTAAAAACCTCTTAAATATACACATTAAAATGGTGAATTTTCTGTGCCATAAAAAATCTGATTATTACTAGTTCTTTAACCTCAATTATCAGTTTCTCATCACTTTTCACTATAGCTACAGACTTTTTCCTTCCCCTTCTTATATGGCCAGTGGAAAGAAAATGTGTGAGCAATGTACTTATAAGGAAATGAAGAACTGCACATTTAAAAAAATTATTAAAAGAACAAATTAGTATACCTCTTCCCATTCAAAGAAGGATCATGATAATCTAAAAGAGAACCACAGTTTTATGATGTAACATATAACCATATTTATATGTTAAGCAAATAATTTTATTACCACTAGTTTTCATCTCAACAAAATAGAATATAACCCATTACTACACAGTAGTAAAAAAAAGTGCCAGCTAAGACCAGTTGTGATCTTTAAGAGAACTTACTGTGCCATGTCCGTTTGCTTCAAAATAAACTCCAATGTCAAATTCTTGAGCCTTATGGTGCAAATGTTTGACACCAGTTTTAGTGCAGTAAACAGGTACCTGTAATGCACACATTTAAAAAAACAACAGCAGTTATACTTACCCCAGTGATACAACCAGGAACAAAACTTGAGCTTAGTCTGGTGAGGAAGATTAGGGATTAAAATACAAAATGGTATCACTATGGGGAGTAAAGACACTGTGGTTGCTCATAGCCAAGGGAAAAGCAAAGAGAGGGTCTTTAATTTTTAAATGAGGGTCTTTAAAAAGACAATGGATGACTCCAGGTAGAGGCATGACCTGATCTATTTTTAGAAAAAAGTTATTTTAACTACAGTATGAAGAATGTCTTCCTGGAGAGATGCATATGTTTTCTGTAAAGGGTCAGAGAGGATTTTGAGCTATGCATGCCATATAGTCTCTGTCCCAATTTCTCAGTGCAGTTTTGCTAAAGCAGTACAGACCATATGTAAACAAATAGGCAGCTTCTATTCCAATAAAACCTTATTTACAATCAGTGGCAAGCTGGATTTGGTCTCAGGCCATTGTATGCCAACTCCTGGTTTACAAGCTTGGGAAAAGGGAGGGACTGATTCTGTTTCTAGGAATAATCCCAGTAAAATTACCGAGGTTGTATGAGCAACAGTGGATAGGTATGTCAAGGATGCATCTAAGATTTAAGAATGGTTAAGGAAAAACTGATAGAAGTAAAACTTGAAAGAGACAACAAGCAGGATCAGCATTTGACTGGAATTCGGAGACCTCAAGAATTGCAAGATCTAGGAATATTTAATCCAAAAGAAAATGAACTGAGAAGTAATGGTTTCTGATGTATATTTGGTTTTTAAAACAGGGTATTTTACCTATAAGAAATTTTTAAGACAGAAAGTAGGAATTAAAATGTTTTAGTCATGCACTGCATGCATGCAGTGGACCCATAAGATTATGTTGCCTGTTGGCACTGTAGCCGTCTTGGTTTGTATTAAGTATGCTCTGTGGTCACACAATGACAAAATCTCCTAATGACAGTGACGCATTTCTCAGAATGTACCCTCCTTCATCATTATGGACTAACCTAAGTGCTGAGAATCCACGGAAAGGCAGGTTGGAGATGACTCCCTTGTGTAAATTCACTGCACTAATATATTTAAATTAGGTCACAAACTAGCAGCCTCCACGACATTTTGTTTTGCCCACCCACTATTTTTCTTAAATGCATGAAATTCACATGAAAATGCAGATTTCTGCTTCTCCTGAAGAACCTAAGAGGACATCAGCTGGCCTGGACATGCTTCCTAGTCCTTAATCACCTCCTATATTCATTCACTTTACCTACCCAGATCCAGCAGGAATTTCACAATGGTTACATAAAAGTTGGAAAAATATTACATTAGCTAGTGAGGAAAAAGGGTAAACGCAAACGGCTTCCAGTTTTGTCCATGAACTCTAATGCTTAGAGATGTAGGGTGATCCTCTGGCAGATGCTGGGGAAATAAAATCTACCAACCCAGAAACTCTGCCCACAAAAGAAGTGTAAGGAAACAGTTTTATTAAGCCAGACTGATATGAGCATTACAGACAAGCTGCTAAAGGGATTGCAACAATCTAAAAAAATCTCCCCTCCCTTCTTTGTATAGCCAAGCAGGTACAGCACACTTCATAATACTCAACATAAAAGATGACTGGTGACAAAGATTCTCTCCTTGGCAAACTCTGGCCAAACACAATTAGACACCCTCTTTGGCCATGTCTTCCAAAAGCCCAATTTTAATAAGAATCCTTTACCCTGATTCTGATCACCCTCCCTATCTGGTCAAAGTCCTCATCCTCCACTATCTCCCCTGCCCGCCAGGAGCGTCCGATCACCCCAGCCTGCCTTCATCAAGAATACTGTGTAGCCAAAGATCAGTTTAATCAAAACATCCCCTCTTACCCTGATGTTTCTTCTGAGTAACAGTCCATCTACTGACCACTTCTACCTCTCCACACACACTCTCCTCAGCTATGAAATCCCTACTTTTCCCTGCTTTATGCAAAACTCCATCACAGCAGTACTTGTATCTATCACAACAGTTGAAAAAAAATTTTCCATGCCACTTTAAAAAGTGTAATGAGCAATATTTTCTTTAATATTTGTCCTCAAATAAGAGGACTTAACACATCTTTTACTCTAAATTTACCTGGTGATTGATATGACCAGCTGTGCTAGCTAACTGGCTTTATTTAAAGGAAAAGGAAAATTTTTCCATGACAGGCAGATAATTTCAAGTTGTTGCCAGACATCTGAGTTAAACTCTGATGAAGCTGACACTTAGGGTGCTATCTTCCTTAATGGTTATATTTGAAAGAGGTATCTCCAGTCCTTTAAGAAAACTATTCCTGCACTGGCAGAGTGGCTCAAGCAGTAGACCACCTGCCTATCAAGCGTGAGGCCCTGAGTTCAAACTCCTGGGGAAAAAAAAATTCCTCAGTTTTAAAACTTGCTTGTGTGGCCTTTTAAAGTTTATCATTTATTATAAAAGAGCAGAGAAAGAATTCAAATGTTTTCAAAGCTAAAAGAAATGCTCTAAGATAAGCAGCCCATGATGAGCTGCTTCCATGGCTTTGTGGTAAGTCAGCACACCATGAGGGACAGAGAGCATGTGGTAGAGGGAGGCTGTTAGCTCCTGGCCAGTCCCTCCCTTTAGCATCAGGGATAATTTTATTCTTGTTTTGACTTCTATTTATCCTCACATGGACCACAGCTCAGCTTCATGCACTAGTGTGTTCAATTTTAGAAGGACAGTATTTTCTTCACAGAAATATCTTATAAGCAAGAAACTACCAGAAGATAAAAATGACTGAATACCTTCATAACTTCCTCAAGGTACTGCGTTGAGCTTCCATTTGCATATGCAGTTTGTACCACGCAAAGATTCAAGCTTTCTCCAATCTAGAGGAAAACAACAACACTTGCCATCAAGCCAACATTAAGAGTTCTAAAAGACAACAAAATTGTCAGCTAATTCATCTGTGCCTTAGTTCACACAACAAAAGACATATTAAAAATAAACAGAAAAAAACCCTAAAATACAAAGAAACCTCTTACAATTGTTTCAAGTGGGGTGGGGAGAGGGAAGGTGGGGGGACTGGTGAGGGGGCAATGAAACTAATGTACAATATAAGCCTAATCAGAATGCCCCCTGCATAATGAGTTGTAATTTTTTTAATTAAGAAACTAAAATATTTTAACATTCTTTTAACTGGGAATTCTCTTTATAGAAACTTGCAATCTCTGATCTTTATCTCCTTAATTTTTTAATAAAAGTTAATGCGCTCTTAAAATATACCTTTTGCAAATTATAATAATTTCCGATTACAACTTAAAGCCAGACTGAAAGAGATTTACAAAACGGAGGGGACTCTCACATTACTAAGATTATCATAATTATAAGAATAAATAAATATAAAAAATAAAAATATTTATTTTTATAAACGATATTGATATTTTGTCTTATACTTTGTATGTCATCTTAGTTTGTATTAAGTATGCTCTATGTTTACGCAATGATAAAATCACCTAATGACACAGTAACACATTTCTCAGAATGTACCCCCACCTATGATATTTTGTCTTACAACTTGGGCATAACATGGAATGATGGAACTCTAGTTTCTAATGTGTCAATTATGAAGAAACCAAAATTTCATAAAGCTTCAAATCATAAACCTAGTAAAAGGAACAAAAGACTACTGGCAGCTTCCAAAACCAATGCCCCACTGTTGAAATCACTGGAACTGCCAATTCTTTTTGTATTTTCTAGCCAGAACCATACGAATGTCACATAAATTGTGCCCCTGAGACAACAAATGACTCTCTGATACAGAAAGACTACTTCACTAGTAAGTCTGGCCCCCCACCATACCTCCAACAGAAGCTCTTTAAGAAAACTGCTAATCAACGTTGCTATCTTGTCTCCATCTATGAGATGAAAGTGACCATCTGCATCACAGTAGTAATACACGATTCTGTCTGCATCTCCATCAAAGGAACAGCATCTTTCATTGAACTTCACTTCCATCCCTAACACAAAGGATGGTATAAAATGCAGTTCAGTTTAAGAAATGGGAATAAAACTTGATCTAAAGTTGTACCTAGGGAATATTTTATAGCACGTTCTCTAAAAAAATTTTAAAAGATGTTTAAAATTTTCCTTCCAAATAAAAACCAATGTCCTAATCTTCAAGTAGTGTCCAGTTTTGACAGGGCAAATTAGTTCAAAGCAAACCAAAAAAGGAGCATTCAAAATCTAATGATGCTGAGATCTGCTATAACACTAAAATAAAATTTTATAAGATAGTTGGTTTGGCTAGACGGTTTTCCCATATAGTTGTTTGCAAGTGATAGGGATTTTTTTTTAATGTAATTTATCTGATATTGTACCATCCTTTATGTATAAAAAATAATCAGGAATAGATGAAGTATGTGTTTTAACTGTAATAGAAGATATTTTTATTTGCTCACAGAACCAATAACAAGAAACACTGGTGATTAAAATCAAAGAATTAATCTGTGAGGGATCAATAGCTGGTGAAATTTGCATAAAGTTTTTGAAACCTCAGCAATTATTCCATTTAATTTATTAGAAAATCTGGTTATTCCATAGCCAAAATGAGGCAATGCAGCTTCGGGAAGGTGAGGGCTAGGTTTTGCTCACACTGCAGTCCCAATGCCAATGCAGGAGAGTAAATGAGTGACATAGAAGTGAAGTTTACAGAGTAAGTGTCAAAATAAGCAATTCAAGGAAAAGAGGTTGAAATTGGCTATTGTAGAGAGGCAGAACTACATGAAGGAATACGACAACTACAAGAAGTCTCAAGTTCTAGAAAGCATGTCCTACTTAAATGGGTGGCAGAGGACGAATGATGTGTGAATAGTTGTCTTGTGATTTTGGTAAAGAGAGAATAGGGATTCCAGTATTTAAGAATCACAGAATTTTTAAACAGAGGCAACTAATGCCATTAAACACACCAAACACACAGCTGACCAAACAAGACACCTCTGCAAGCCACCTTTGACTTCTAGCCTAATAATTTAGGATCTGTACTGCAGATAAATCGAGGATACCTCTTTACTACGACAACCTAAAGGACAGTCCTCCTAAGCTGCCCACTGTGGAAAACACTGCTTCCTTTTCACAGTACAGCTAGTACAGATAAGACAATGCTGCTTACTACTGCTACCTTTCTCAAGTGTGGTCACCAAACAGGCACCATCAAGAGAGACTGGGAATTCGATAAAAGCACCAATTTCTAGCCTAAGTGAATTCTAACAAATCAGAAACAGGTAGGGAGAGGGTAGAAATCTATGATCTGTGTGCTAACAAGGCAACTCTGATGGAGAGCCACTGCACTCCAATTTTCTAACTGCTTTCTTCACCAGATTTCCTACAGACTGAGCAGGGTATGACTTGCAGGCAGAAGGAGCAGATCATTTTTGAATGGAGTGTGAGGATTTCTAAATGTCTCCAAACAGCAGAGCCAGGTTCAGCTGCACAGTTCTTAACTTACCTGGCCACCTCAGCTTGTAAGTGAGATTGGCTCAAAGAGTTGTAGAAACAAATGTTTACAGTACTTGTGACTACGTACCCTGTGGAGGCTTCTGATGACTTTTCACAAAGTCAGCCCCGCATAAGTGGTTGAGCTTTCCTTTAGTCCCATCGTTGAACAGCTGAACTGACAGTCCTTGTGAGAAGTAGCGCTCCATTTCTTTTAGCTTCAGGGCCCCTATGCCATTTGCACAGTCAACTTTAATGCACCTACTTTCATCTCCACTGCAGGAAGCCTTCAAAGCAAAAAGACATGGGAAAAAACTTCAAGTTAAAAAAAGTAAAAGTGAAATATAAGTATACATATGTATATATGTAATATCTTGTTATTTCGGTTTACTCATGTGATATAACCCAGATAACAAATGTACATACAGTCAGATGAAAATTGTAAGACACCAAATAAAATTTAAAAACACCTTGACCACTGAAATACTTATATTGAACTTATGGAAATAAAACTTCATTAGAATTTAGCCTCAAGTAATATCCTTTAAAAATATTATACTCTGTATTTCATGACAGCCATTCAAATGTGAGAATGAGAATATCAATGAGTGAACAATATCACGTATCATTCCCTTAATAGCATACAATATCACCAAGCATATTTGGGGAATTTTTGTTTCGATTTTTTTTATTTGTTTGGTTTTAATTAAAACCCAAAAGAAAAGTTCTATGAGAATACTAGATCAAATGAATCGCTCCTCTCAAATTTCTCTAAGTTTAACAAGCCAAATGCCTAAAAGAAAATCTTTCTCAACAGTATTTTATCAAGCAGTAGGCCACCAATATTCACACTACAACCAAATTCACCTCAATAAATACTCATGATAGCCATAGCAAAATCACCACCATACCACCATGTTCCTCTGAAATGATCTCAGAATCCTTGCCAAGTAAACACTGACATTCAGTTAGAGTATTCACAGATCAGAACCTTGGGGAACCCCAAAGAGAAATACAGAAAAGGCCAATCTTAGGGAAAGGAAGAAGGAGGCAGTGACAAACCATCTAAGAGAAGTTGGTACTTTATCCACTTGTTTAAATTTGAACCATATTCAAGAGATGTGTCACCTGTTTGGTAAGTTCCACAAAAGCCTTAGAGAGTTTCTGGCAGTAGCCTTCTATGGTTGCCTTTCCATACTGGCCACTGGTATTTCGACAGCATACCATGTAGTGCAGCTGAGGTGTTGTTAACAAGCCATAATCTGACAGAAATACAAAAATAATTCATCACATTTCTTAATAAACAACAAAAAGTTAACATGCATGCATTTGTCAAGGTGGATGAAATAGGCATCTCAGAAAACAGAAAAGCACTAACTTTCAAACTGTCCAGATGCACATCATCAACTGATATCCTTACAACTAATTACATGGTACACATTCAACTCTAAAAGAACTGTGGATCGCTGTTAGGAAAAAAAATCATTTAGAATTGACAAGTAACAACCTAAATAAAAATAATTACTATTTCCAGTGACATTATAAACTGCTTCTGATAAGCAATCCTGAAAACCACCAAAAAGCTAGATAAGAGAAAAATCTCGTTTGAAAAAGAATTTCAGAACTAACAAGTTTCCAAGGAATCGTCAAGGCAAAATCCATGTGAAGGCAGGTACTCCAGGACCCAAGCCGAGGGACGCAATATGCTTTGAGGGCAGTCCTCTAAAGCTGAAGTGGAGCAACAGCTTTCAGTGCAAACACAACCATGCCGGTCTAAGATGGGGAACCCTACAGGAGACCAGGCCTTCATGAAGTTTACCGCCCCCATCGTCTACATGCTCATTACAAGGTGAGCCACTCTAAGTCCCCACTCCCAGGACAGTGTCTTATCAGTGAGCAGAGAAGAGGGGAAACTCCTCCATCAAGAGCATCACTACAAGCCCCAGTGCATATCACCACAGTAGTACAAAAGAATCCTGTCATGAATGAATTTAAAATAGACCCAGGCAAGCAGTGCCCCCAAGGACCAGGCACAGTAAACACTGAACTTTCCAGAGGAATATATCTTCATCATGAAGCTTAAAAATTCCCAGAAATCATTCTCCAAGTTAAAAACAATCAGCTGCCAGCCAAACACACAAGAAAAGCACCAGGAGCAAGAAACAAGAGAAACGGATGGCAGTGTCTACTGCTGCATCTCTGTCCATGTACTAGAGACACGAATGACGAGTTTGGACTGGGGACAGAAGGAGCCATTTCAAGCTCTTGAGCCCTACAGTTATACAACAGAAAGGGTATTTCACAAAGAAAACGTCGGCCATGGCATAGGATTTCACAGGAAGAGGGAGGACTGCTCAGAAAAGTGGAGCTTAGATGAGTTAAATAAAAATGCTTAAAGAGAGGAAACCATGATTCCAAAAGACAGGCTGAGGAGGAAACAAGAGGACTTTTGTGACTAATATTAAAATTACTATTTATTAAATGACCATGACATATACACAATAAAAAGTATCGTCTACTGACTGATCAGCCTAGAAACTTAAAAGTCAAATTTTTTTATAGCTTTTAACACATCACAAAATCCTTTCAATTCAATATGAATTTCAAATTTGTCCATTTCTCATGGTTTCATCATTCTTGCACAAACTACTACATGAGCAAGAGTGGTCTAGCTGGTCTCCTTTCCTTCCTTACAACTTTCCTTTTCTTTTTCTATACAATAGCTAGTGACTAGCTTAAAATGAGAATGTCATCATGTTATTCTTGTGCATAAAATCCCTAGACAGGGTCCTGCTGCATTCGGAGCACAACCCAAATCCTGCCATGACCTCTGAGTCTAGGATAATTTGGCCCTGCAGTTTCCCCAATCTTATCATCTCTAGCTTTCCTCAACCTCCCTGTGTTACAACCACATTAACATTTTCGGAGACACACCCAGCTAAAGGGAGAAATGATGGTTAAATAACAAATCACTCAAGTTTTTCTAGACTAAAAACCAGAGGAATGATGAGTCTAGCAACAGAATGGAATGGCAAAAAAGTCAGGCACTCTGGGATGGAGAAAGAAGGTGCAGGCAGTGAGTCCAGCTTTGCAGGCCACCTACATGAGGACAGTGTTTGACAGTGTTCAGGCCAGCCTGTCAGTGGGTCAGGAAAAGTACTTGGTGAGACACAACCAACATTTATGAATTTGTTTTAATGAAACAGATGAATGTGTGTCATGGGTATGTGCTGTTTACTGAAACTATTATTTCAGTTATACACACAAACACTTCAGGATACAAAAAATGGGTATCTTACCAGGGGTTGTGACACACAGTGAAATAGACTACTGAAGGGTTATACAGAGCAGGCAATCAAAAAATGTTTGATAAGGCCAGGCCCAGTGGGTCACACCTCTAATCCCAGCTATTCAGGAGGCACAGATGAGGAGGACTGAGATTTAAGGCTAGCCCAGGCAAAATGTGAGACCCCACCTCAACAAACAAGCAGAGTGTGGTGGTTCACACATATAATACCAATCACGCAGGAGGCATAGATAGACAAAAAAGAACTGAGGGTGTGGCTCAAGTGGTAGAACACCAGCCGAGCAAGCACAAGGCTCTGAGTTCCAAACTCCACTACCACAGCCCCCCCAAAAGTTCAACAAATTAATAAATGAATGAATAATGGTTACTGAGGCTATGCAGGAGAGGTGATCATTCAGAAATCTCACAGAATGAAAGGGAGAACTAAAAAGCCAGTATCAAAAGAAACAGAAGAAGAACAGCAGAGAAGACCAATAAGGAAGGTGACCAAGCAAGCAGAAGCTCAAAGAAAGCAATATCATCAGTGCAGAAAGCTACCAAGACATCCTCTGTAATAAAAACTTTGAAATATGACTCCCTAAAAGTTATTTTCAGGTCACAGAGCACTTTGGGTGTCTAACAAAAGCTATTTCTCTTCTCCCTACGAAGTACTTGTGCAGGCAATAGCATGCAACGTGACAGGGTCACAGGGTCCCTGCAGCTTAACCAGACAGTCCTCAGGCCCTGAGCTCCAGCTTAGGGATCCCTACTTTATATCACCACCACAGCTGGCCATCAGCATTCCCTGGGCGACTGGCCTGCAGCAGGATAAGGGATGACTAGAGGAAGAGCATGCAGAAGGTAGGCAGACCTGCAGGAAGGGCCAGGTTAACTGAGAAGAGATCACAGCAGGAGCCAGAGAGGAAGTATCAAAGCTGAGGCAGGACTTACTGTCTAACGAGAAAGACCTGATACTACCAAGTGTTTACCTAAAACAGTGGAGTCACTGCCTTCACAACAGATGGGACCTACTTGACAAAAGGAACTGGGCCTCCATTTTGCTGCACCCAATCTCTTATTTGATAAAACGGAAACACCTGTCAAAACTTAAAACCACGATTACACGTAGACCAGAGATTTCTCATTAGTCAATAACAAGTAACAGCTGATTCCATAGCTATTAGAGGGAATACCTAAAATTGACAAATGCTCCCCAAAATGGAGTTTTTTGGGTACCTTCGAAGATTTAGATATCAGGAAACTCAGCCCTAAGTGAAAAGGAAATTGTGCTAGATCAGTGCTTCCTACTTATCATCTACTCTATTGTCTTATCCCATAGGTAAAAACAAATGCCTGCCCAGGAAAAATCTGGAAGATTTAAAAAATTATCATTTTAAATCCAGGACTTTTCAAATTTTTATTGTCCATCCGTATTTTCAAACTTCAAGAATGTATTACTTTAATAATTTTTAAAAAGTTTATTTGAAGATTAATTTCCAATTCAGAATAGCTACATACCATAGAATTGACCTCCTAAAATAGTCACACCATCTATTACAGATTGTGAGAGCTTCTCACTGCTGGGCCTAGGAAAGAAAAGAAAAAAAATAATATATCCTATCTTGAAATCAACAGATGCTGGTTCTGAGAGCAAATGCAGAAATACTTGCTACCAGTATTGTATCTGTCTGAATTGAAAGTTACCAACTCTGAGGAAAAGACACAGGTAAATTATAAGAATCTTTTACATTTGATTTCTTGGAAAGTTTTGGCTTTTAAATAAATTTTTAAAAATAGATATAAATGATATCCTAACTAGATCATATACAAACACCTTTCCTAATCTGACTATAGCAATATGTATGCTAACTAGTAACAGCACCAATACTGAATGCAATGTGTGTAATAGTGTTAACCACCAATGACATAGAACCTATTTTTTTATTTTATAGTCAGAACAAATTATCTACCTGAAAATTACACAGATTATATAACAACCTTATAGAAAAAGGTGTAATATTTAAATTAGGAGGTGAAAGTCAAAACTGTGGGTGAATAATTTACTTCAGGACATAAACCACTTAGCTATTTCTGCTACATATTAACGAAGAATCAGTGGTATTTGCAAAACTCTCAGGTAACACAATAAAGGGTGAAAAAGTCCAAGCCAGTAGGAGAATGAGGATATATTTCTGTTTTGAAAGAATGTCTAGATAAAACCAGATCTTGTGTAAAATAGGATGCCATGGCTGCAAGTACACTTTTAATCTAATATTTTACAAAAAGAAGCATTTTTGTTAGGGAAGGTGAAGGCTGTCGAATGTGACAACTATGTAGAAAATGTAAATTACTGACTTCCACTGAACTACAGAATTAGGAAATGATATAAATATCTAAACCAATGATAACACTGATTGTAAAGAAAATCTCTAAAGGTAATGTGTTAAAATCATGTATTCTGACTCTGTAGGGGAAAAAAATAAATCTATAGAAGAGACACATTTATTAGGCATTTTGCATACATTATCTAATTCTAACACAATACTGTGATGTGCCTTGTCATCGTTTTATAGATGAAGAAATGGAAACTCTAAAGGACAAGTAACCTCAAATTATGTCAGAGTTAGAGCAGGGGACCAAACCAGAGCTGGACTCCAAACCCGGGCTGTAGTCATGACTGAACTCCTTGGTGCTACTGAAAAGCCCATGTAAGGGAGATGCCACTCAGACAGCTCCACTTAATTCTTGCCAGTTGTCACAGTTATGAGAACAGATGAGATTGCTTATACTGCAATCCAAAACTCTGATCATCACCTCGTATCTCTACCAATAACTACAAAAGCATCTTGGTGCAGATCCACGGCTTCTTTCTCGCTGATGTCAACAAGCACTGTCTGCATATCTTGTTCCTCAGCATTTGCCAAACAGGTAGCATGTTCCTCCCAGGAAGGGGCCAACATTTCACCCAAAGGATCAACCAATTTCACACCATTGTCTTCCTTAAAAGAAAAAAGAATGGTAAGCCATCTACCACATATCATGAAGATGAATGAGCAGAGGAAGAACTCTTGCAGGGTCCCCCCCAGTATTGATGGCGGAGAGGCTTCACCAGTTACGACTAATACTGCCAGGCACTGGCACGTGTTTCACACACTTCACCTCCTTAACCCCTCATGACACAATGGCAATGTAATCAGTATCCCTGTTATTACTTGACTCAGAGAAATTGAGATTTAGAGAGGTTAGGTAATTTGCTTCTAGTAATATGGCTAATAAGTGTCAGTGCTGACAATTAAAACATCAAGTCAATCTGCCTCTTAAACCTAACAACCATGATGCCACCTAATTTTTTTTTTAAACTATCATCTGTGCATCTCTATCCATTAACTGACTAGGGCACAAGGGGAGCAGGAGGAGGATAGTAGACGCTCTTCTCACTAGGACTCTGTACTCCAAGATCATAAAGCAAAGTTCAGAGTGAGTGTCAACTGAGAAAAATAGCTCAGAACTGTTCTGGAACTAGCAATAAATGTGGGGTTCTTCCTACAAGTCAGTAATCAATTGCTATGACTTAATCAGATATTTACACATTTATAGTGATCACACATTTAAAGGCTAGGTAAATACTGTCCTCATTTGGGGGTGGAGAGGAACTTACAATCCATCTCTAACCTACATAGCCTCTACTTACTGCTGATTTAGCTACCAAGACAAAACTTTTATGCCCAACCAGAAGCATGTTATTCAAGCTACACACTAGTAGACTACAGGTAATTGAAAATAAAATATTTAAAATGTGTCAAAAAACTAGCCGTGATATAGAAACAATCTCTGTCCATTGACAGATGAATGTATTAAAGAATATGTGATGCACAATACAGTATTATTCAGCATTAAAAAAGGAAATCCTGCTGTGGCGGTAACATGGATGAACCCAGAGAACATGCTGCTAAGCGAAACAAGCCAGGCAGAGAAAGACAAATACCGCATTAATGCTTGCTACATGGAATCTGAAAAAGGTGACCTCATTTCAACAGCAGAATGGTGCTTAAGAGAGGATGGGATGTAAGGCAGCAGGAAGCTGTTGGTCAAAGGGTACAGACTTGTAGTTCTGACTCAGTTCTGGGATCTAACTACAGCACGGTGTCTATAATTAATAGTAAGGCATTCTATACTTCAAAACTGTAAAGAATAGATCTTGTTTTCTGACTACAAAGAAAAGGTAACTATGTAAAAGTGATGAATATGTTAATTAGCTTCATTGTAGTGATCATTTCACAATGTATACACATATCAAAACATGACGCTGTATAACATATACAATTTTTGTCACTTATACCTCAATACAGCTTAGAAATTAAAAATTAATTGTGCCAAAACGAATACTTGTACTAAATCTTAATTGTCCTGAAGACTCACACCTTATTAACATTCTGCCCAAAGCTCACTTGGAAGAACATTCTGTTATTTCTCCAATACAGACACTCTCTGAGACTATGTTTAGTCTCATTTCATTCTCTCCACACCCTCCAAAGAGTTTTGAGCTAAATGGCAATTCTCCTAAGAAAGAATTGTTTCAAATCCAAAGGCGCATATGAATGAGAAGGCACATTCTTGGAATTAGAATTTATACCTGGGTTCAAACTGCTCAGACACCAAGGTTGGCTTTGTAAACCATGGTATTTTTCCACCAGAGCCCTGAACACATTACCTCAGGATTGTGAGATGCTGTGACCATGACTCCTATGGTGGATTTTGTCTGCTTTGATCTCAGGACAGCTAATAATCCCATTCGAAACATGATATGATCAAGATGTTCTGCCTTTGATCGAAATCCAGCTGTCCCATATTGAAGAGTAAGTCCACTGGGCTTGGCATGTAAAGCTGAGTGCTTTGTGATTGCACCCAAATCCATGTCTACAGAATGAAGAAATATTTTTCAGGCATAAGAAATCTTTCAAGGAACACTGGTTTCAAAAACTGCCACCCCAACCTAGCAGCCTGAACCTCTCCAAAGAACCATGTGTGAGAGAGCAAAGAACAGTAAACTTAAGTCACCAGAGCGTGAATTACTAGAAGTTCCTACCCAAATTGTCCTGTCCATTCCATGTCCAATTCCGGGCAGAAATTGGCTTGCCCCTGATTCAGCTCCCATTTTGCCTGTAGGAGTGTTTATTCCAGAATGAACTTAAAATTGTCTACTCTTAAGTAAAATGAAAATTTCACACCTAGATGCAGAGAGTTTTACGAGATCAAAATTCATCTCATTTTACAAAAGGAAAATCTTAAACTTGGGCCCCAATTAAATAACCTAAATGTATGTGTGGAACTGGTGAGAGACCCGAGAGACCAAGGCCTGAGGTCAGGTTCTCAGGTGGACTACCTACCCCAAAATATCTCAAATCTGGGAGGTTCTTTTGCTATTCCTCCCAAAGGAAAAGCCAACAGCAATACGAGTTTCCTCTCCAAGACTGCCCAGCTTCCCTAATACACCTTGCAGGGGATTGTCTGGTTTTTCATAAGGAGAATCAGGGCAACCCTCTAAATCAACGTTTGAAACTAGCCACATTTTCTTCTAAATAATGTTTTAACCTTTAATTTTAAAAGGCAAACATGGGCCCTCAGCCCACTAACACCTCTTTCCTCTAGCATGGTTTTAAACCTCAGTCAGTGCACTCTAAGAGGCCCACAGACCGACTATGCACTTCCTGGGTCAGTTCATTCCCAACTAGCCCAGAAGTGAGGAGTGACTCACGGCGACCAGCACACCCTCTTGTCTTAATGTCTTTCACTGCTGCATTGACCAAAAAAAAAGAAACGGGGAAAAATATTTGCTTTCGTCCACTTGGTAAAAGCTGGATTCCACAAGCTAAATTTAACTAGCTCCGGCCAAAGTAATCAAATCTCTTTCACAAGAAGTGATATATTTTTGTAAAAAGTGACCAGTCCGCAATCCGTCATTACTCATAAGGGCGTGAACCCACTCCTGTTCCATCCAGAATTCGGGCGGGGGACTCTAACCTCGTCCCACCCTTTAATGCGTTTTAGGACCTAGGACTACTTTGAATGGCGACGCGAACGCTCCTACTAAGAGTGTATTTCCAAGTCCCAACAGTGTCCATTCAATCTTATGTCCCCAGCTCTGGGATCTGCCCCGCGAGGTCCCCGCACAGGAAGGACTGGAGCCCGGTCCCCGCGCTCCCGGGGCGCAAGACCAGTCAGTCCCCAGCCTCCCCGTTGGCCCTCGGGTCAGGCCAAGAACTCCGCCCGCCAGCTCCCCCGAGCCCGTGCCGCGGCGACGTCGCCCCCAGGCCACCTCACCTCTGCCAGGTCACTGCGCGGCTCCTGCTCCGTGTCTAGAAGCTCCCTCCGCGCGGCCGCCGCCCCCACCCTCGAGCGCAGGGAACCCGCGGACGTGGCCTTTCAGGGCTTCCGGCCCAACGCCACGCCCCTCAGCCAATCGCAGCGGGGGAGGGGCCCCTGGCCCCGCCCATGCCTCCAGGCCCGGCCTCTCCGCCGGTCACGCGCGGCGCGCGCCCGCGAAACTGCGGATGCGGTTTGGAGCGGGCTGTCTGGCTGTTTGGATTGAATAACCAGGCCCCGGGCGGCCCGGGGGTTGGGGCCAAGGGTTAACCACTGGGATGCGCAGTCTCCGCCTCCAAAGCTGGGCCTCGGGGAACCCGGGGGTCCTAGTGGCCTAGAATGGTGGGCGGAGGCGGGTGCCAACCCCGATCTGACCCGGAGGCTTCTGCCACAGAAAGTGCCACCGGCTTTCCGCATCCTTGTCTCGACTGTCGGGATCGCCTCCCAAATCTGTGATCTGACACCACCATCCCCTCGTTCGGTCCTCCCCACCCACCAGTTCTCTGTAACTGGCCCCAGGGCCAGTGGAGCTGACATCGGGTGGATCCAAATCGTCGGATCCCCCAGCCCCTGGGAGAGGCGGGAAGGCTCAGGGCAGCGGCTGACTTTGTGGACGGCGGGTCCTTGCGACTCCGGAGCTGGTGGACCGAAGCCCCGCCCCACGGCCCTGCGGACCTTCCTGGCCGCCACGACCTGCTCCGCCCGGGCTAGAGTCCTGGGAGGGTTTCCCGACATTTCAGGTTTACGCAGCGTCTGCAGGTCTCACCTGCAACCACCTGCTGCAACCGGGTAATTCTGAACACCTGTTGAAGCACGGACTCTGAACTCTAGATTGACAGGCAGGGGTGGGGAAAAGAGACTAGGAATCTGAATTGTAGGAGAGTATTTTAGGGGATCTTGTGCATACTAGATTTGGGAGTCAGGAGACAAAGCTGATGGTGCTAAGTGTCCGGGTTTTTGTCCCTAGCTGTGTGTGCAAAGTGTTACTGCGGAACTGCTTCCTCCTAAAGGGACCTTCTGGAAATTTCTCTGGACACCAGTGGTCATTGATAAACCCAGTGGTCCTGGAGCTTTCCAGGTTTCCAAGCAGGTTGATTTCAAGATAACATGTCGGCTCCAGTGAAAGAAAGCCTTCAGCTTCAGCTGCTGGAGATGGAGATGCTGTTTTCTATGTTTCCCAACCAAGGAGAAGTAAAACTGGAAGATGTAAATGTCTTGAGGAATGTAAAGAGGTATCTGGAAGGCACAAGAGAGGCGCTACCACCAAATATCGAATTTGTGATTACGCTTCAGCTCGAGGAGCCCAAGGTGGGTGCCCTCCTTTGTTTATGTTTGCAAGGTGCCCAGTTTTTAATTGAAACACCTGGTACATGAGCTTCCTATGAAGGAAACAAGAGAATACTCAATATTCCTTTACTTGTTTGGAAGCAAAATATATAAAATACAGGGTGCTCTATAAAGTTTTTTCAATAAATAGCCTGAATTTTATATAAACATGCACACCTTTTAAGCAAATTTGCAGGACGTTTTTTATTTAAAATATCTTGCAGTTTCACACTATAATTATTCTGTTCACTCATGCAGTTTCTTACCAATCCAACTGCTGTAGTACGGACTACCTTTTACATATATCATGATTTTCACAAATCTAAGTACTGCCTGTCACAAAATAGGCTTTTTAGGAAGTGAATGAATGTTTTAGGAGTTTTGTTTTGATGGCATCATATACAAAAAGCAAATGCAAATACAAAATCTAAATGTTAAAAATCAATTTACCTCCATCTTTTGATCATTAATTCCCAGCAACATTAACTTGGCATGAGCAGCATGCAGTCTGGGCACTACTCATCCTTCATTTACCCCCTAGAGGAGGCTTGCTGGTTCTCCAGAATGAATTATGTCCAGTGGTTACACACTTCAGTGGAACCTTGATCACTTCCATGGTGAAATTACACTTGTTATGTGTAGTTATTTGTTTAATGTGTCTCCTTCACTAGGCTCTAAACTTCATGAAGGGCAGAAATGGTGTCTGACTTCACTTCTTTATCCCAGCATGGGACACCAGACACATATAGTTGTTCTACAGTATTTAAATCTATTTGTTTTCATTTTAAGGTGACAATTGATTTGCAAGTTACCATGCCTCACAGCTACCCCTACGCAGCATTAGAGCTGTTTGGACGGTCATCTGAACTTGACAGACAACAGCAGCTACTTCTCAACAACAGTCTCACTTCTTACATAGGTACTTTTGATCCAGGTGAACTCTGTGTATGTGCAGCGATCCAGTGGCTACAGGACAACAGTGCATCCTATTTCCTGAACAGAAAGCTCACATATGAACCATCTACACAAACAAAGCCAGTCAAGAACACATTCCTCCGAATGTGGATCTACAGTCACCACATATATCAGCAGGACCTAAGGAAAAAGATTTTGGAAGTGGGGAAAAGGTTAGATGTGACAGGATTTTGCATGACAGGAAAGCCTGGAATAATCTGTGTGGAGGGTTTTAAGGATCACTGTGAGGAGTTCTGGCACACAATTAGATACCCCAATTGGAAGCACATTTCCTGTAAGCATGCCGAGAGCATGGAGACAGAGGGAAATGGTGAGGACCTGCGCCTTTTCCACTCTTTTGAAGAATTACTTCTTGAGGCCCATGGTGACTATGGACTGAGGAATGATTATCACATGAATCTGGGCCAGTTCCTAGAGTTTCTCAGAAAGCACAAAAGTGAGCATGTTTTTCAGATATTATTTGGTATTGAAAGCAAAAGTTCAGGGTCCTAGGAATCTATTAAGAGGCCTATACCTATAATTTCACTAAGTTATTTTTGTCAATAAAACCAAAATAAGAAGGCTGGTGGCTATATAGCATCCTCAGTGAGAAACCTAGATCCAGAATTTTCCACTAATGAAACAAATAGGCCTTTCAACTTTGTATCAGTGTGAATGTGATGTTACCCCTAGGTTGCTGTGTTGTCATTTGAATACTATTTCATTGAAAATTAATTTTAAAAAAGTACTTAACCAGTAAAGCTGATTTAATTAAGAAGTGCAAAGCCCCACAGTTAATGTCAAAAATTAAACTGCAGTTATGATTTCATAAATATGAGTAACATCTCTCCCCTTTTTATCATACAAGCATGTAAATGACACACCAACCTTTTTTTCATCATTGGAAATCATTTAATGCTAAATCAGGGATAAAATAGGAATAACAAAAGCATATGTTTACTTACTTCAAGTCAGACCCCCTATTTTGAGTGTTTTAGTAAAACTAGATACTAATATGAATGGCAAAGAGAATTTTTCCCCTGGTTGTTCATGTCAATTGGTTAAGGATACTAGTGAAAATAAGAACAATATTCTTAGTTCTTACCCACAAAAGAAGTGGGGTTTCTTGTTTACAAAATGTGCCCATGGCTTTTTCCATCCTTTGCATGTGTGCTAGTATGTATTCCTATATGGGGCAAGAGAGTGTTGAGAGAGACCAGGTAGAGGACTGTGCCACCATCTTTGGGGGAAAAAAAATCAAACTGCATTTTTGTGGTAAGTCACTGTATCTCTTCTGAAAATTCCAAGTTCCACCAGCCGTTTTCAAAATAAGAGTTTAACAATTTTTAAAACCCTTATTTGAGCAGCACTGCCCTAGAATTTCTAGGCGTTTCATGTGTGCTAGGGCACAACACAAGCAGCCTCTGTACCTTTCCCTGCTTCCATGGTCTCTCCTTAACCACTGCTGCCTTTGGAGTCCTGCTGGAACTCAGGCAATCCACTGATGTTTAGTACCAACTGGAGGCTAAACAGGTGATGGGATGTAGTGACATGCAGGGGAATGCCTGATTCCCTAATTCATGACACATTCTGTTAGATGCGTGTTACATGTGTTGAGCTCACAGAACTTCTGATGAACCAGTACCTCCTGGTTTTACTGTGTGTTTAGGATGCAGACATGTGTCCTTGGGATTGGGAGATGTAAGGGACCAGTAGATGCATAATCAGACTCCTGTGCCCACGAGGCCTTGGAACTGAATTCACTTTGCCACTCAGAATAAATTTCCTCTTGGGGTATAACTCAGACTTTAAGGTTTTGGTTCTGGGCTCTCTCTGCCAGACCATCAGCTGACCCATTCATGTTTTAATCCCGTGGGATGCCACTGGAACTCAAGCTGGGGGGCTCAAACTTTATCTGTGTATAAAGGAAAGAAATATGACTCATTTCTCTATGTGTACTAAGACTGAAAACAACACAGTAGGGGAATCATTTTCCCACATAATCTCAAACTATCAATAAGTATAAATAATACTTGTAATCTGGGGACCTTAGGTAGAGATCTAACTCCATTTGCCTTTTTTGTCCTTTAAATGAGATAGTATATGCTATACACTTACCTTATGGTTTTTTCCTATGATTAAATTAGCAAAAGTAACTATGGGACTATAAACAAGTTTAAGAACAAAGCTCAAAATTCAGTACCACCAAAACACTCTAAAAATATGGAACAAAAAATGGATTTCATAACTCAAGCAACAAATTCAAGCTTATGAACTCTACTGTTTCTGGAGCTATGTCTGATGAAAGTTTTTCAGAATTTGCTTTTACATACCCAATATTAGCATTCAATACTTTTTTCCTAAAAATAGACATTTATTGTGGGAGAAACTTAGGTTTTATATAAAAAGATAATCTCATTCAAAACTCAGCTTTCCAAGTATAGTAGATTGCTGCTTGTGTTTCCCACCCTGATAGGAGCACAAACAACCCTGCCCTCACCCCCAGTCCTATACACACAACACTTACTTTGGGAAATCGCTCTTCTCTGTGTGGTTTGGGAAGAGAAAGTGACTGGAATCAAGTTGCCCTCATGCAACCTCCTGGAAAGATGCTTCTGAGTTTCTGCCACTGAAAGCTGTACTGCCATCCTCATGTCTGGCCTTTTGAAAGCTTTGTTTCTCTCAGCACCCTAAAGGAGGGACTGAGAAAAACCTTAGCCTTTATTCCTTGGACATTAGAATCAGTCTCTATTGCTAGTACTTTAAGAATCCTGATACTCTGTACATTAAAATTTTTAAATGGTTATTTGGGAAGCATGCTTGCTTATAAAAGTTGCACTATTTTTCTAAAAGCTTACAGAATCTTCAAATACTGTTTTCCTTCTCATTCCTTACTGGTGTGTTATATGTTAGGCTATGAGCTATGTATACATGCATAATGGGGGGGTGGACTGGATGAGTTGACTGACCATGGCCAGGGTCCTCTAAAGCATACCTTATATTAAATCAAAGCCTTGTTGCCTGTAAACTTGAGGTTTCACTTACAAGTGCTCACATGTCTTCCTCCCCTCTCAGAACTTGGAACACTCTCAAGTGCCCATATGAGGGGCCTTAATGGAACCCTTTTGAATAGGACAATTTTTTTTCATTTGCTTGTACTGCAAGTAGCCTACTAGTAAGTCAAAATAATAGCTATTTTCTGAAGAGGGCTTTTGCTCAGAAATACATGGTTTTATACAGAAACCTGATTTGCCACAAAAACTCTGAGCCCATTGGGTCTCCTTTGTAAGTCCACATGGTAGAATTTACTTCACTGCAGCCTAGGACCATCTGAGTCACTCTTCCTCCAATTCCAGTCAGAGCTAGACATTTGGATCAACCTATAAATGAGTTTGAGCAATGCACACAAAATGTTTAAAGTTCAACATTTTTGTGGTAAGTCACTGTATCTCAAACAGCTGAGTGTGGTGGCACACTCCTGTATTCACAGCAGTCAGGAAGCTAAGACAGGAGGATCACAAGTTCCAGGCCAGCCTAGGCTACATAGTAAGACCCTATCTCAAAAAGTCAAAGAAACAAACAACAATAAACAGAACTCTGAGGACTCTCCTTCCCTCCTTAGTAATTGGAAGAAGGAAATAAATAATTTGATTTTTCATTATGGAGGGGACTTCCCAGCAGGCACTAGACACTCCACCTCTACAAAACTTGGCTGAGATGACAAGTCCTAGTATTTTCATGAGATTTACCTTCTGCCATCTAGCATTATGTCTCTAACATTCAGGGAACCTAATGCCTGCAGTGCTCCAGGATCCTATCAGCAGGTCATCATCAACCTGCTGGACTAGTAGCTGCTCTGTGCAATGGTATTAAGAATGATATTCTGACCCAGTCAGAATTAGTGCAACACTGCAACTAGAGGTCTGCATATTGAGACAGAGCAAGCTGCTTAGGTGTTCTCTACTTTCTGGAATAAAGGAAAGACAAAAACAAATCATTGGCCAAATTAGCAAAATCAACTACCTTGATTTAGTCCAAGAAAAGGCAGCCTCTCTGACAGCAGCTGTACTTGGAATCCCCATCTGATTAAGTTTATAAACTGTATTGTCAGTCTGAGAGACCCATCTGTCTCCTGCATATGACAAAGATCATGTCAATGGAGATATAAGATTCACATTCCTGCTTCTTTTAAAGCCTTGAAGGCTTTGGCTTCTCTCTCAAAATTTCTTGGTACCCTCTACTGAAAAAACTTTTAATTACAGATCAAGAACCCAATGTGGGGATATTGCCATAGAAGATAAAGATATCAATTCATACATGATAAATAAGTACAATTTTACCTGTCAATTTAAAAAATTATTTAAAAATAAGTCAATTCCAACTATTCACTGGGAAAATAACTAGAGACTGGGTGTCAGAGACCCCAGAAGTTATCAGAACTGTTCCCAAATGGCCTCCAAATGGCCTGGTCATTTACTTTATACAGTACATTGTTACTGTAGTAAATGGAAGCCTGTTAGGAAGATTCTGGAAACATGTTTATGACATTATTACCCAGTTTTTCATCTTAGGAGTGGTAATACTTTGGATATGAAGTATTCCAGCCAAAGGCTCATGTAGTGATGGCTTGACCCCAGCTGGTGGCAATGATGATAGGTGATTGAATCATGAGGGCACTAATCTCATAAATGGGTTAATCCATTGATGAGTTCATATTGAATGGGCTATTAGGAGGTGGGAGGGTACCTAGTTAGAGGAAGTAGGTCACTTGGGATGTGCTTTTCTTTTTTTGACACAGGATCTCAAGGCTAACCTTGAATTCACACAATTCTCCTGCCTCAGCCTACTGGATACTGGGATCTGGGGATGGGCCATACAAGGGTACATCTTGCCTAGACCCTTTCTCTGTCAGTCTCTCTGCTTCCTGGCAGCCATGAGGTGAGCAGCTGCCTCTGTCACATGCTCCTACCATCATAATGTTCTGTTACACTAAGTCTGTAGCAAGGGAGTCAGCCAACCACTGAAACTTCTGAAACTGTGAAACAAAATAAACCTTTCTTCAGGTTCACTTGCTCAGGTATTTTGTCACAGAGATGAAAACTGACTAACACAGGGATCTTTCATGTTTATCTGTATGTGGCAATTTGCCAACTTTATGTTGGTAGCTCCAATGAGCCTTTTCTGATGTTACAGATATCAAGCAGGATCTGTAGGGGTTTTCCAAGTATTTGGTCCTAGGCTGGATTGGTTAGCTGTTAAGTTTTGATGTGTGACTGTGTAAGTTTTTAATGGCATCCATTTTTCTTGGTAAGGACCTATGCTGCCTGGTTGTTACTTTTTTGAACATTATTTCTGGCCATGAGGCCCTGTGATTAACTCTCCACAAACAATTTCTGTGGGGCAAACTATTCTCACTGCGTCAGACCTGCTTGAATTGATAACTGTCTGCACCTGTCTCCAGTTATTACTTGCCTCTACCAACCCCAAGATTTCGATGTCTTCATTAAAACCTATTTTAACCATGGCATTTCTCACAAGCCTTCCCAGCCTACAGAGAAGTTATTAAAATGAATTCATTGATACTTGTATTCTCACCACCAATGTATTTCTCCAAACCATAATGAAAGATAGGTCACTGGTTCTACAAAACAACAACAAAAAAACCCACTCCAACACTGCTATCTTTATAAATCTTTGAATTTCTTTATATTATTACAAGAAGTGTTTGAATTCTCAACTTCATTTAATGTGGGCCATTACAAAATCCATGTTTCCACTCAACTAACTGAACCAACAAGTGAAATCACTTCCAGTCTTTTAAGGCAGTGCCCACTGAATCCAGAATTTGTGGCAAGTACACCTGTAGTTCTGCTCAATTCAAACTTAGGTGACTCTATCCCAGTATAATATTCTCAGAATGTTATATATTTTTCCTCAGGTTATTGCCAATATAAATGTGCAACATCTAGAGGTCCTTTGGTCTGAATCTTCTTCCCAGGACTGTCTTTTAAATTGTATCCACCACAGCCTCTCTCCACACTGGAATCTAACTTTATGTATGTATACAGAGACAATGAGAAGTAACCTGGAAGGAGCATAAAGTTAATTAGTTTCTCTTTGCAAAACCATCATTACCTCAGATGGAGTTATTTCAGGATCCTCAAACAAGGCAGTAATAACCTCTTTAGACAAACAAGATTTGATTAGCAAGGGAGGACATGCCAAGGGTACATCTGGTTGCCTAGACCTAAGGGGTTTCCTGTGACACAGCTGCTCAAACCTGCAGTATTGCTTACCCTAGTTTAGCATGTCCTGAGTCCTACCCATAGACCCTTACTCCAAATCAAGGTCCTATTGTTTTTTGGTCAGTACTATGTTAGACCTCAGTTTTCAATTTTTTCTACCTGCAGTTAGTGAAAGAGGAGATTCTTATAGCAAAAACAGAATTTTTTACAGTTTTAACAGTACCTTGAGATGAGAACTTAAGCCTTCGAGCCTGAGTTATCTTTACTATCCACCTCTGCTAGAAGCAAACACCCCATCCCATCCTAGTCCTGATAGTCCTTCACCTTTCACATCATTTTAAGGAGACAGCTATTTAATCCACCAAAACCTTTCCTCCTTAGATAATGTATCCAGTCAGTTTTTCAGCTCATGTCTGTGTTTTGAGTTACCAAACATATTTTGCTACATTAATTTATATTAACATTGTGTTTTTCCCATTCAGATTTAGGTATTTAACCTATCTGGAGTCTATCATTTCATATAGTGTAATGCAGGACTCCAGTCTTAATTTTCTCCATGTCGTAGTCAGCTTTTCCTAGTCTTTTGCTAACCATTTCTATCTCCACCAACATTTGTAAACACATACATTCTGCGTTTTCTATTCCACAGTTCTGTATGTTGTCACAACTGATGCATATGTAAATATCTGTAAGATTAATCCAGAGGGGGCGCTGACAGCTCACACCTGTAATCCTAGCTATTTGGGAGGCTGAGATTGGAAGGATCATGGTTGGAGGCCAGTCCAAGCAAACAGAGAAATCCCCTCTTTTCTTTTACAAATTGACTTAATTACTTGTGGGTCATTACTTTTCAATAACAGACAAGAGTTAAGGCACCAGGTTCATGCCTGTAATGCCAGCACTCCACTTGGGAGGCAAGATGATGAAGAGTTTGGGTCCAGCCTGGGATATACACAGGGAGACTCTTTCTCAGGAAAAAAAAAAATCAAAATTTGCTTTATGTATTTTGAAGCTATTTTATTAAAGAGTACAGAATTATACCTCCTAACAACTAACCTTTTTATCACTATCTCTGTTAGAATCTGTTACCTGGAAGTCTATTTGATATTAATAGAGCCATGACCAGCTCTTAGACTTATCTTAGAGAAAAAGTTTGCAAGACCCCATCTCAACCAATGACTATGTATGGTAGCATGTCCCTGTCATACCAGCAATGCAGGGGAAGTATAAATAGGAGGATCACAGTCCAGGTCAGCCTGGGCATAAAGCAAGACCCTAGCTCAAAAATAACCAATGCAAAAAGGGTTGGGAGCATGGCTAAAGTGGTAGAACACCTGCCTAGCTAGTGCAAATCCCTGAGTTCTACCCCAAGTATTGCCAAAAAAAAAAAGTAAAAATGACTTGTCCAAAAAACTTCCCACATCAATCCTCCATACTTTCTTGTCCTTTTGTCCACAATAAGACAATGGCATTACAAAATGCATTTAAGTTTATAAATGAAATAGCTCCATAATTTCTTCATATGTTATATTCACTCCTGCCTTGGGATACTTGCAGAAGCTTAGATTCTCAGCCTGAAAACACTTCTCTCTTCCAACATACCACATCACACTATACACACACACACACACACACACACACACACACACACAAAACCTGGCTTGCTCCTACTTATTCTTTATCTTTAGGTTACTGCTTTAATATCTCTCCCCTTCCCTAAAAATGGATACGCTACAAAAAAACCCCTTAATTTTCTTATCCTGACTTATGTTCCCTTTTGGGGGGGGCAGGGTCAGTACTGAGGTTTTGAACTCAGGACCTTGTGCTTGCTAAGCAGGTATTCTGCCACGTTAAGCCACGCCTTCAGCAGCACCCCCAGCTTTGTTATTTTTCAGATAGAATCTCACAATTTTGCCTGAAACTGGTTTCAGACCAAGATCCTTCTACCTACAGCCGCCTACATAGCTGGGACCATAGACACATGCTACTAGGCCTGGCTTATTGGTCAAGATGGTGTCTCTAGTGTCTCCTGAAATAGCTCTATAATAGGTATTTCAGCCCTGAATGGCCTCAAACTGTGATCCTCCCCATCTCCATATCCCATGTAATTGGGTTTACAGGTATGAGCCATTGTGCCCAACTATGTTCCCTTCTTAATTTACATGGCCGGCTTAGAAAAAGGAGCGGGCACACATTTTTTTATCCACTTTATTGAGACATTACTTATCAAAAGAGTTTTGATTAAACATGTACTTAAGCTTCACTTCTTTTATGGAAATGCAGTTTTACAACTATTGAAATATAACTGTCTCATCTAAATCTGCACAATTCAGTATGGTGGTAACTAGCCAGCTGTGACTACAAAGCATTTGTCTAGTTTAAACTAAATTGAAATGTAAGTGTAAAATAAACACTAGACTTTGAAATCTGATTATGAAGCAAATGTGTATTTCAATTTTTATATTAATTATAAGTGGTAATATTTTAAATATATTGGTTTAAATAAAATATATTAATATGAATTCTACCTTTTTCATTTGTATGAAGCTATCAGATAATTTAAAAGTACACCTAGGACAGTACTGTTCTAGATCACAGCCTAGTGAATGAAGACTAGAATATAAAAAAAGACAAATATGGATTTAGACTCTACTAAATCTCCTTCTTTGCTTATTAACTCCATGGACTTGGCAAGTTAATTAAAATATCAGCTTCATAAAGAAACTAGTATATAAATACTTCACACCTAGTAAGTAACCATGTAACGCCTGTTTTGTCATCTTTCCTTAAGAACAAGGAAGTAGGTCACTCATTATATCCAGCATAAATGACTACACATGTATCAAATGAATATAGTCCATGCTAAATAAATATTTCTGAAATTCATATCTTGTCATGTGATCTCTTAAAAACCTAAAATTGTAATTTTAAAGTGTAACAGTACTTTTTAAGAATAACAATTATTTTATAATTTTATTCATTAACTTTTCTATGCTTTAATAAATCTTTTGCATAGGTAAGTACATTTAGCAAAAGCTATTTTGACAACATGCAAACAAGAAATAGGTGTTTTGGATCTTTTACAAATACCTGTACTGAAGAAAACCAAATTTACCTTTAGAAAGTCTCTGTCCCCTTCTCCTCACACTTGATAGAATAAGTTTGACCTTTCAGTAAAATCATTTTATAAGCAGTTTATCTTGAACATCTTATACTCTTGGAAGCATTACTTCAAAAACAGAAAATTCTCCAAATAATTCTAAAAATGCATAGCAAGTATTATTGCACTGTTTAAGAATTTAAAATTGTTTCCACTAATCCAACCATTAATTTCTAAAGTAAATTAATATATTCTGGTAATGTAGCTATTCTTTCTCATAGAGTGGGCTTGGTAATTAAAATATTTTAGTATCTGATAGAGAGCTTCTGATATTGGGAGTATAGCTATAAAATTTCTCTAAACTCAGAGGAAAATGAGCTTATTGCAATACAGTGAGCTCTCAGTTACCTGAGTTAATCACACGGATGTTAGGGAAGTTCATTTTACTAGACACCAGCTTGTCTGGGAACTATGGTCCTGACTCCTGACATTCTTATCTTAAAAATGCTGCTCTTCAGGCAGCCCCTTTTCAAGAACCTCAACTCTCCTTTCAGTCTTCTTACTGCCCAGGCTGAGCTGAACAGAGAGAACCAACATCTAGATAGCAGTCCCAGTCCACACAGGCCAGGACCAACAGTGTGGGAGCTGATAGGGCATTTGATCAGGCAGAAATAAAGGTTCTTTTAGGAAGGATTTTTGGACTAAGGACCAAGTCATTAACAGTTTTATTCTATAAGATGTAACAATGACAAAAGAATATTAAATCTAAGGCTGCACAAGGTATTGTAAACAGCAGTGATCTTTCTTAGAAATGTTGGAATTCAGTGGCACAAAAAACAAATCTAACTGAAATAAAAATACCTGAGAAGTTTTTTTCTCTAGGCAACAAAGTACTGTTGTTTCTGCTTAGCAAAAAATAATTTGTGACCAAATTCATTTTTATTTTTAAAAAGTAGATTTTAACAAAATGGCCAATGAAGGATTATGGATTTTAGTGTTGATCATATCAATCTACTACTAACTTTGGTCTTCCCATTAGTTTCCTTTATAAAAATGATGAATTTCTCAGGAGTAAGTACAATAGCTTTTTAAGAGAATCTTGACAGAACAGTTAAGACAGAAACCATAAATAACCAAAAGGTAAATCAAGAAAAATTGTCTAGTATGAAGTTTATCCTAATTTATATTAATATTCTTCCATGAAATTTTAGACTGCTAAAGTAAAATTACCTTAGACTAAACATATTATGAATCATCATAAAAGATTACAAATTAAAAATTATGAAAGAATTTAAGATCTCATTACTGAAGTTTAAAATGTTGACCATTATTCTAGTCATCAGCTCTGGTCTGTATTTTCTGGACCTCTTCAGGCCAAGAATAACAATCAGGTAAAATCTGGTCATAATCAGTGCTATACATCTGAGCGCGAACAAATGCTTCTTTGTTTTGTGGTTCAGGATAAACTGTGGCTGTCTTTTCTTGGTATGCATCATTCACAATCTAGGATTAAGAAAAGAATATTATTTTAATGAATAGAAGGTTATGGCAAGCACATGTCAGTCAAGTTTTTATACATTTCAAAAATTAACTTGTAATTTCTACCTTTTTCCAAGAAATTGTGTCACAGTAAAAGTACATATAAACAAAGACAAAAACTGGAATTACAATTATACATCATATAGCAAGAGGGGAAAATGGTATTAGCAACTATGGAAAGTATGAATAGTAAAGATTTACTTAAGTATAATCATAGTCTTGCAAAGACCTGACTGATAACTTGAACTAAATACCTGAATATCCTTGCCCAGCTTGAGCTAGAATATCTTAAATTTTAAGAATCTCTCATCTGACCACAGCTTCCTATACAATCTGCATTTAACCAGGCATCTTCTGATCCTGCTAACCTAGCCAACCAGACCCCATAGTTAGGGTCAGGGGTCCTTACCAGTGTTACAGAATCTCTTGACTCTACGTCTTATGTTACATGTACCATGCCACACCCTTGTCTGGGGACCCCCATGGGCTAGCTTTCTCCTCTTGTAACAGATCAGCAGACAAATGTGCATGAGCTTCCTATGGTGTTACCTGTTTCCTAACCTTATTGAGGCCTGTGTGGTTGCACATTATATTTATTATTATCTTTTCAAAAATCAGCTCCTCATAGTTCCCAAAAGGTAATTTCAAACATTTTCCTTCTTCAAGTCTCCATTTAACTCATCACTCTATTGAGAAAATTCCAACACTCAGAGAAAACAGTCTCCCTTTCACAAACTTAAACTATTTCTCTATATTTTCACATATTCTCTACTCTGCTTTTTGAGAAAAAATTTCTTCTTGTTTTCAAAATTAATTATTCTATATATACTATTTAATTCACATGAGTTCTAAAAAAATCACAAAGGAGTTATTTGTGTGCTAGACTTATTTAGATAAGTTTGACTTAGAAGAATATTAAAGTAAGTATCTCTTCTCAGAAATGTAAATTTTGGCATTTATGAAAAGTTATGTTCCTTAAAACTGAATTATGAAGAAATGTCTATGAAAAGGAAACAAAAACATATAATAATGTTAGAAAAGAGCAAAAAATGACACACATAGAAAAATAATAAAATAATGCCTAGCGTAGAAAAGTAGAGTGATGTTATTTTCCTAGTCTATTTTTCAAAGTGCCCATGATGTGGTATTATTACCTTTTAAACAGATTTATTGAGGTATAATTCATCACAAAATTCAAGAATTTTAGGTATATAAGTAAATTACTTTTGTAAATTCAGAGTTGTGCAAACATTAACACACTGTTTTAGAATATTTCCATCACCCTAGTAAGATATCTGTGCCTGCTGCAATGGCTGCATTACTTCTAAAATAAAACACATTGTCTTACTGATGACATCAACTACGTGGACCTTCTCTTTGCTCTCAGGAACTACAGTAGGGATCATCTTTTGCTTTCAATGAAACCTCCACTTTCTCCTTGTTAATGACAAACTATGTGGAAGAATGGATTGTGTTTTATTGCTTCAGTGCTTTCCTAACTCCTTGACTTCATAACCTCTTTTTGCAGTGCTGGGGAATGAACTCAGAGCCTTGTGCGTGCTAGGCAAGCAATCTACCACTGAGCTACATCTCAGGCCCCATAACTTCTTATCCTACTGAAATTGCTTCTGTGAAAGTCTCTGATAATTTTCTAAGTCTCTGTTTTTCACTCTAGGATTGGTTCTGCTTGGTTCTATCCCTATCTGGAACTTGTGTCTTCTCTAATTTTTGACATTCTGTTCAGTTTTGAGTCTTTTTCTTTTTTCTTTTTTTTTGAGACAAGGGCTCACTATCTAGTCTAAACTGGCCTTGAACTCACAATCCTCTTGTTTCAGCCTCCCAAGTGCTGGGATTAGAGTTATGAACCACCACACTCAGTTTTACTCTTAAAATCCTGACTTGCTGCTCTCTTCTGTCTTTCAGACAGAATAATAAACTATCTTCTATCCTCAGTTTCCTTACCTTTCTATACTTGCTGTCTTGGTAACACAATCATGCCTAGAATTTAACCATTACTATATGTAGATGAAACCCAGATCTTTCTGTCTAGCCACTCTTTAAGTTCCAGTCTCTTCCAACAACTTGTTAGAATTGTACATTTGAATGTGCAACTGATATTTCAAACTTGCAGTCTGCTTATATTATCTTCCTCCCTGAAAGCGGTTCTTTATTCTGATTTTCCAGTTTCTCTTTAGGCATTCAATATTCTTCCATAATTCTAGCTAGAATAGCTGCATCTTTTTGTATTCCTTCTACTGTTCCTTGCTGCCTTACTGTCTCCTCTAATCATATGTTAACTCCTTTTTCATTTAAATTGTCAAAATGAACTGAAAATGACAATATGCTGTTTAGTAATCAATATTTCAAAGTAATTAAAAGCTGGCAAGTATGTATGAGCATATTCTTACATAAATAGATAACCATGTAGATTGCAATCTAAAGCTTTTTGAAGGGTTACTGATTTGAAGAATCAACCTGAAACCAACAAGATGAGTAATGATACATGAATCTTGAACAGTGTTGTTTAGGTTAACTTGATATAGCTTAAATTTGTAATCTTCAGACCAGGAGCAATGAGGTCCCCAGAAGACAGGTTAAATGCCTAGCAATGTTTTCTTTATTACAATTGTGTAGGTGCTCATAACATCCAGTGGAAAGAGGTTAGGGATGCTACTAAAATACTACAAAGCCCAGAGCTTTGTAGCCAAAATGCTCAGAGAGCTGATGTTGACAAAGCCCAGTCTGAACACATAACTACAGCTATGGGCTAAATTTGTGTATCTCTTGCCCTCAAATTCGTATGTTAAAGTCCTAACCACTAATATACTTCAGAAGCTAAAATGAGGCTGTTAGGGTAGGCCTTAATCCAATTTCACTGGTATCCTAAAAAAACAGGAGAAATTTGGATATGAAAGACACCAAGGTTGCACAAACACAGAGAGAAAACTATGTGAGGGCACAGCAAGAAGGTGGCCATTTGCAAGTCAAGGAGAAAGGCCTCAGAAGAAACAAAATCTGCTGACACCTTGATCTTGGACTTCCAGTCTCCAGAGCATAAATGTGAGAAAATGAATTTCTCTCGTTCAAGTTACCCAGTCGTGGGCTTTGGTCATGGCAGCCTCAGCAAACTAATACAGCTATACTACAGAAAGTCAATTTCTCTTTCTGTTTTAGTTATAAAAAACTTAACTGCCTCAGGTTCTTCTTGGTCAGCTACTCCAATTGTCCCCACTCCAATAGTTTTGAGGTTTTTTTGCCTTCATTATTTTTTCTTTTGACAAGTACTATCCATTGTGTTTTAGTCTTTTAAGATGTCATAAATTATAGACACATTGAATATGGTGGTTCCAAATCTAAATGTCACTCCACCATATCTGCAATAAGCTGGCAATTATCACAAGTGTAACATGGAAAAGAATGACTAAAATAAGATGAAATGGGAGGAACCTGACTAAAAGAAAACCCTAATGAATTATAGGAGAAAAAGATTAGGGAAATTAATGATTCATCACCATTGTTCTCTCAGGATAAAATGTAGCTCCTAAGCTCTATCAAGTCACTATGTCTCATTTCCTTGACTTCTGAGATAGCAAACTAATACAAATAGATATACACTTCAAGGAAGCAGATTTTTTTTAATACAAAAATACATATTTAGCAAGACAAGGAAGGAAAAATAATGAAGTCTTAGCAAAAGTGGTTTTACCTTTATTGCAATTTTTAGCGAAACATCTCTAATGGTATTCAAAGGAGGATAAAGTCGGCCCTCTTCCAAGTGTTCATCTGACACTTGCTGAGATATAACCTTAGAAAGATCAGAAAAAAGAAAAACAATGTTTATACTTCACACCATATAATGTGGCAGTTATACAGACAGTAACAAAGTAAATAGCCACATGTAACGGCCATATATAGAAACCAATCACATTAGCGTGATTATCTCATTTCATTTCCTCTTCTAGCCATGAAAAATCTGAGTCCAAGAAAGCTGTGCTGATTGTTGGGATCACAAAATTAGTGAAGATGATAAGAGAATCCAGGTTTCCTTTCAATCCAATTCCTTTTCACCGTACCATGAAATGCTGGCTATCCCCCAATTCATACACTAGGGGAACAGGGGGAAAGAAAAGCAAGAAAGGAAGAAGAAGATGATAGGAGAAATGGAGAAGGATCCTAAGAGTACAGAAGGGCATTTATCAAAGGCAGACATAATATTACTCTTAGCTCAAACATTCTCACATGGGAGTTAGAGCTGGAGGCTGAGAAAGGTACTTTAGAGTCACATTATAAGTGGGGTTTTAATTTAACAGACTTTGGATCATCTGACCACTGAACTAGCATCAGCATTTGCTGTCCCCAAACCGTTCCCTAATTCTAAATGAAACAATGTGAAATTATTTATTGAACACTACTAAGGCAGAGAGGTACATTCAGCAACCTGGAAGCTCACTCAAGCTCTAAGACTTTGATTAAGCATATCAGCCAGGCCTTTGTTTTACAGAAGTGTTGATGCAGAAATTCTTATTTGTAACATTTTGGGTAATCAAACATTTATTTTCCAGTATTTTTCAATACCTCTTAGATTTTTTAGATCATGAAATTATTTCTAAAATATTGTTTTGCTGCAATCAGCACATCAGTAAAGCTCTGAGCAAGTATCATACTACAGATAAGTTTTAAAAGCAGTTATTCAGACTGGAGGTGTGGCTCAAGCAGTACAGCACCAGCTTTGTAAGCTTGAGGCCCTGAGTTCAAACCCCAGTACTGCAATAAATAAATAAATAAAAGAAGTTATTTTGCTTGAGTGATTTATCATTTGTTGAGGTAACAACTACAGGAAGAAAAGAGAACAGTGAAGGAGAAAGCAGCCTAAGCTGAAAGAGAAATATGAATCCTAAGAAATCCAGAGGAAGAGTGGTGACAGAAAGCTTCGCAGGGGAGGTGGGCTTGACTCTAGAATTAAAACAAAACTACGAGTTAGACAGACAGACAGAAATTAGAATCAGACCAGAGGAGATGTCTGAGCTGGACTCAGTGAGATGAAGCAGCTGCTCTGGGGGAGCAGAAGCCTGTGTGGAGAAATAAGGATGGGAGTATTGTCAATGCCAAATCAGGAGTTTGGGTGAAATTCTGTGGGTGACTGAGGACTTCTGACCAAAGGGAGAGTGAAGGTAGGGGAAGTAGTAATGAATAATATTACCTTACATATTATACAAAATGTTATCTATAATTAGAGTATTGATTATAATTTTGTAATAAACATCATCACTTAAACTCATTAATTTCTTGCCTTTGTAACACGTATTAAATAAAACTTTTCCTTTACCTCAGAATTGGCCCTAGTGTCCCCTACTTAAGGACACAGAGACATTCAGTATTCATATTATCAGAAAGTCACAACACAAGTGGGGCCTGACATTTCTTTCAGGACCTAAGAGGTAGTAGAATCAGCCCTGCTGCCCTCAGGATAGCCACCTCTTCCCAGAGAGCTGAGATAGGGAGAGCTGTGTAGCCTACTGGGTAATGCAACAGCTAATTTCCCTCTTCTTACCTGGCACCCCTTCTTGAAGGCCTATGGTGTCCTTAAGACAGAGGGATTGGCAAGACAGACAGACAGACACACACACACACACACACACACACACACACACACACACACACACACACACATACAGAGTGATTGATAGGCTAAAATAAGGGAGAGTTAATAAAAGCACACTTCACCCTTTTCCATAACCCTCCTTCCTATCTGCAACACAATTGAAAAAATAGGCCTTGTAGAGAAGGGGGGAGGAGTTTTTTTTAGAGGCCATGTACACACTTTCCCCCAAACATCTTGCTATGCTTTGGGTTTGACTTGACTCTCAAAGGTTCATGTACTGGAAGCTTGGTCCTCCGTATATTAGTGTCAGGTAAAGTACTCTTTAAGAGGCAGAACAACTCCTTATTTTTCTACAAAGGATTTATGGCAGATTTAAATCAGTTGGAATTTCTTAAATGTTAAATAAATAACTTTTATGGGTATCTAGCATTGAAGGCTCGAGCTCAGGTGTGTGGTAAACATTATTTGAATCCTGACTCCAGCACTTACTATCTGAATTTGGGCAAATTAATTAACCTTTTCAAATCTTAATTTTCTTATCAGTAATATATGAGTGATAACAGATGCTAATTCATATGATTAAATGAACTAAATGTTCAAAGAATCTACCATAGTGTCTGTCAAAGTATGTGTCAATGAATCTTAGCCATTTAATTTGAAAAAGAATGAATAGCAAGCCAGCATGACAAAGTGGAAGTGAAAGTGCTTTGGGGGTCAGGTCTAGCTCTACATTATATTAGCTTATTAGCTATTTGACTTGGCAAGTTATATAACCAATCAATTTCACATATTTTCAACTGTTTGTATGACACGTGTATTGAACCCATCATCACTGGCATATTGCTGGCATTCAATACTGTTTTTTCTTTAGAATATTACACAAGTATCACTTTAAAGAGACTGAAGACAGTCAGAAGATGGCTGAGAAGAAAATCATTCTGAATCCTTGCTTTCCATGTACCTGTTACACAGAGAGGAAGTCAAGAAATTGTCAAACAGAATCAGCAGCAAATAGGTACCATGGGGAGCCTCAATGAATTTTAAGGGATTCTGGGAGTGCTATGATTTAGATAGGTATAAAGGTGTCCCCCAAAAGGTTCATGTGTTGGAGTTTGGTCCTCAGTGAGGTGTTGATGGTGTAGAACATTTGTAGGACCAAGTAAGAGGTCCTCAGGTCAAATGGGAGCATGCCTTCTCCAGGGACGGTGGAACCCAGTATCTTTTGGACTTCCTGTTTTGCAAAGTGAGCTCTTCCTATCACACATGTTTTGCCATCCACCACAAGGCCCTCACCAAAAGCCTATGTCAGGATGTTTGGATTTTTAGCATACAAAACTGTGAGCTAAATAAACCTCCTTTTTAAAAAATAAAGTTAGTCTTCCTCAGGTGTTTCATTTATAGTAGTACAAAGGACTACTCTACAAGGAGGAAAGACAGAAATATGCAAGAGTATTACTCTTACTGCCTTTGATAGGATATGGATGTCTCTCTCTATACTGTGGCTGATTTCAAATAATCTCTATCTATTTCATTCTGACAATGTTATGGCCACTGGATTTTCAGGTATCTGGTGACTTAAATGAATCAAATTTCCTCCAATGGCTGTTGTCCATCATGATCATGTTGTATCCCCGCTGGGCAGATATCAGAGAGTGGTGAAGCTGGGTGAAGGAGAAGACACAGCAAGAGATTTGGGAAGAGGTAAGTGAAGATGGGAGACCAACATTTGTCTCTTAGGTTTGAGAAGAAAGGTGAGGAATTTGTTCTTAGGTTATGCTACAGACCACATGGGGCCAGGAGTACTGAAACAGAGAGCACTGTGTGCTTTCATCAGAGTCCAAAAGACTGCCTCTCATTCCAGGAAAGCCAAAAATCTCTTCATAGTGTAAAAATGTCCAGAATACCCTTTTAGATTGTTGCTAGTCCATAAGATTTCTAGGTTCAATATGAGATAAAATCAGTATTTTGGGGAGGAGGCAGTATTGTGGCTTGAACTTAGGGCTTTATGCTTGCTAGACAGGCATCCTACCACTTGAGCCATGCCTCCAGTCCTAAAATTTGTATTTTTGACTGTAATTCTAATAATTATTAAACCTGGGGTTGTCAAACCAAAAATTCATCTAGATACCATAAATGTTACTTTTGTAAACTACAAAACGTAATCTAGACAAAAAGGACTTTCTTCTTTTTTAGTCCTCTGGCAGTAAGTGTCTGTGGTATTATTCTTCTTGCTAAGACATATGACGAGTTCTATTTAATTCAACTCAACAAGTACCTACTGTTTATGCTTTGTGCATAGCTTTGTGCTAGGGGTAACCAGAGTTCTGAAAGAAATATAAGGAAGAATCTCTGTCTTTAAAGAAAATAATCTACAATTTGATTATAGAAACAATACAATCTTTTTAAAAATACGAATCTCTGAAGAGCTAACACACTAGAAATAAAATTAAATACTGAAGTGTTTAATAAGAACAGCCATGGAAGGAAGATCAAGATGAGGCAGACTTGTCACAAAAAGAATTTAAGGATGAGATCAGACTTAAGCCTGAAGGACAGGCTTAGTCAGGTAGAGAACAATTCCCATGGATTTCCAGGTAGGACATAAAATAAAACAGTTATATAGGTGTACATATACACAATATGTTTACAGACTATGGGGTAATAGAAAATGAAAAGAATACTAGGTTTCAAGCTTTGGTCCTATTTGGAAAGGACCTATTAGAAATGTAAATGTTGAGGGTCAGGGAAGGTGACTGTATGGTTTTAAACATGTTGTCTTTAAGGACAAGGCAGAGCATTTGGGGGGAATTATATACCAGATAAATGGAATTATGGTAAAAGATGAGAATAGAAATATACAGATTTGGAGACTATTTAGAATGAAGATAACGGAAACAGATGAGTGGATGAGATCTTTGAAATCATATAGAAAAGGGACAAAAACAGTGAATGCTAGAAAAAAAAAGGTCTTAGTTAAAAGGGAGATGAAAAAGAGACAAAAGAGTACATGGGATTTAACAGACGTATTTAATAAAGGAGAATGTTGTGTTGAAACCAGTGGAAAGGCCAAAAGACGCAGCCACACAGATGCACCGACCATAAAAATACGACTGTAAATTTTAAAAGTCTTTTGGTAGTGATCATTATTACTCTTACAGAATGAGAAATGGGAAATATTTTTCATGATACTTGTCACTAGAGGGTGCTACAGTCATTTAGGAAAGAAAACACTGGCTATGGAGAGTAAAATTTTTTTCTTCTGATGTGCCTGTTGTAAAAGACAATGTAAAACCAACTTTAAAAAGCTCCCTTAGTAATTGGACATCTACTTATGCTTAACGAGACTTGGGGATTAAGCAAACAAATGCATCAGTTGCCATGCTTTTAATGCAGTGAAGAAAGGCACTGCAGCTTCAGATAATCTGTTTTTACAGAACAGAACCAGTGCAACCCAGTATAGTGTGCTCCTGTAGATAACATCAGTAACACAGGAATCTCTGTCTATACTCCAAGGATTCCTCTTCACAATGGAAAGAATAGTACATTTGTAGGATAAATATATTTTAATACTAATCAACTTTTACTTGGTTCAGTTCAGCTATAATGGTGTACAGCAGATTAACAGAAGAAATTCACAAGCTTCTCCTTCACAAATTGCATCCTGCTCAAATGTGAAAATGTGTATCAACAGGATGGACATTCTGATTATCAAAAGTTTGTGATTTTACAAACATATGCCCAATCACTGTTATCATCCCTCTGAGGCTTTCACAGTTCCTGATGGCTCAAGATTCCCTAGTGGGTCTGCTCTGTGATATTCTGAAAACTTTTTCAGAAAGCCTAGATTATAACCTACTTCTCCTGCCCTTTTAGTGATTTTATAAATACTTAAATCCCTATTTTAATTTTGTGCTAGCAAGATTTGTTTTCTGCACTGAACACTTAATCATAAGCACTTCCACTTCACCATACTAAACTTAAAAAAGAAAAAACCTTCAAACTGCCATTGTTTAAGGAAAGTTCACAATGAGAAAATATTTATGACTTAATCATCATTTGAAAACAGAATTTATTTATCACATTAATGTTGGAATTCAATCAGAAGTATGAAGATAAAAGGGTTCCTTTTATGAAATCAAAACAATTTATCTAACAGTTATTGAGGAAGAATCTTTTACTACCAGCTCCATATGAACCCACTACCCACTTGTTATTCTCTACTGGGAAAGATTTTTTTTTCTTCTCTAGTTTTACTTCTTCTAGACAGTGAGCTGGTATGCTAGACAAATAAAAATCAGACAACTAAAACTAGGCAAATTTTAGAGCCTGGGAAAACTTCAGTATTATACAATACCTCAGCAGTAGTGAGGAAGATCTTGTCTGTGATATGCCTCAGTCCACATGCCACAACGCCAAGAGCAACTCCAGGGAACACATAGGAATTGTTGCCTTGACCAGGATATAAGGTTCGTCCATTTGGAAGAGTTACAGGATCAAAAGGACTGCCACTGGCAAAAACTGCACGGCCCTGCAACACAGACACATACCACTCACTTTAAATAGAAGCAGGATATTCTTTTTTTAACATTCAAAAGTTTAATTTTTTTTAATTGTTGTACTGAGGGTACATTGTGACATTTACAAAAGTTCTTGCAATATACCACAGAAGCAGGATATTTTAAAACAAATATATTATAATATGACTGCCACATAGCCAAAACAATGAGTAGTTAGTACTTAACTCCCTAGTAATTCTGGGAAAGTTTCAGTGATGTTAGGTAACAGGTTCTGGACTGGATAACTCTCATTGTTTTCGTACTCTTTGCTCCTGGAAGTGTGCAAAACACAGAATTCCCTGTCTATCACTCTGTTCTCTATTGTCATCTAAACCAGAGGCCCATCAACCATTTCTACATAGGCTTCCCATTACAGACTTCTGAAGATAAAAAAAAAAAAAAGACAGGATCATTATTAGAGCACAAATAATAAAATAACATTTTAGGTTAGAGCTTAATTTTCTGTCTCAAAATGACTCAGAATTTCAGGTCTGACAATACAGAACATTAGACAAGATTATAAGAAAAGGCAGGGGGCCATTTACTGCTGACACATCCAAATTTTACAACACAGCTATACAAATTTTGCTAATTTTATATATGTGAACTACATAATCTCTAAACTCTTGAAAGCCTATTGAGTTGTAGCGAGAAAAAAAATGACTTAAGCACTGGTTTGTTGTGTGCTTCCTACATGGAAAGTACTATGCTAAAAATTTTGTTATTGCTCAAAGGACTGTGTTTTTCTCCTTTAAGAATATAAAGACTACTGAGGAATGTGAAGCAAATTCCACAATCTACAGCACAGATAAAAATTAAAATTAGTGAGGACACTGATGCTACTCAAAATAAAAGGTAAACAATGGAGTGGTATCTTGTCAAAAAAATTCTAGTAGTAAGATTTTAAGAGTATACTGTTAAAGAAGTATAGTCATCAAGTTCTGATTTGTACAGAGGTACACAGCTTTGTGTTGTGTTTACCCTCTCTACTTCATTTTTATTTGCAAAATAAAAGTTTTACATACATAAGACACAAACTTTATTTTGTTGTAACAGTATTTCAAATCTTTGAAGGGAACAAAAGGTTCTTGCCAATACGTCAGTCAAATATATATTAGTACAAACACAGTGTAAAATAAAATAAATTTTTTTTCAAACAGTAAAGTATTGAATCACTGAGGACTCCCATCCCATTCTTGGCTGGATATCAAGATAGCTGTCCAAATGTTCCACCCATGGCATCAAAATCCAAACCCAGAATTTAGTAAAGCAAAAATTAGACTGTGGTTTTATACTACATGCTTCGATGTTTGGGAATAGCTAGTTAAAAGCTATTTTAATAACCATCTAAAACAACGTTTTTTCCTTTTAACGTAAGTGTTGTGTTTAAATCTCAGATACTTTCTAAATCACTTACGGAAAATTATCACTAATACATTAAAAATTTATTTTATGAAGAGAAGTGTTATAACAGTTAAGGAAACAGTACTCCTTCTGTTCATTTTTCTTTTAATCTTGGTTCATAAATTTTCAAGGGTATATGGTAAACATCTTAGTTATGCTAGGCATTCCTATAAAACTTAATCAAAATTTGACTATTAAATTATCAGTTACACATTCACTTTACCTTGGATATTTTATAGCATTGCTCTGCAGAACACTCTGCTTTGCTGGTTGGATTACTCAGTGCAAAAATGATTGGCCGTTCATTGAAGGCAGCCATGTCTTTGAGAATTTGTTCTGAGAATGCACCACCAATTGCAGCAACGCCTAATTAAGAAATGACAAACCAGTAATTTAGGACACTTGTTAATTCATCCAAAAAGCCCATGCTCCTAAAACAATGAGATGTATCAGCTCATTTTCTAATAGACCCTAAATAAAATATGGAACATTTGAATTATAGTACAATGATAAAAGATGTTTGCTAATCCCAACAAAGTAACCTTAAAAACTATAAATATAACATTATTGAGTTAGTAGCCAATCAGCTGGGATTTTGATTACAGGCATATGTGTTAGGAAATTAAACTGTGTCCAATCCATACACTCTTTCTATGAGTAATTCTGTTAAGGTAGAAAAATAATAATGTTTTATAAAGCAGTGTTGACACTTAAAACAATGATTTAATTCAACTGAAAATTTGAAATACCCCTCATTGAAAAAATTTTAACAGAAGAATAAACAGCATAATAGAAATGGAAAGGAGTAAGATTACTGAAAGAACACATTTTGTAAAACAATACTAAAAGTTTAGTGAAGTTTCTGTCATGGAGTAGGTAGCTATTTTTATTATGAGCATCACCATTATTTTCAATATTGTCAACTATTTCACAAGAGCTTCTAGGAATGGAGTATAATATAAAGTAGATTCATATACGCACATACACAATAAGGGATAACCCTTCATAACTTCCTTTGAGATGCTTTTTAAACATAAAATTTGACCATATTAAACATATCACTATATGCACGTGCAATGTCAAAGTACGGTGTTAAGTGTTAGGAGGACTATAAAAGATACGCAAGATGTGATTCCTGTCCTCCAGAAGGGTCTTGCTTGATATTTCTGGATGCTGGCACTATTGATATTTTAGCAAATAATTCATTATTGCTGAATTGTAGTATGGATCATGGGATTACTTAGCAGCCTGCCTGTCCTCTGCTCATGAAATGTCAGTAGGCCCTTCCTCCCACCTCCAAATCTCCTTCCCTGTTATACCAACTACAAACTCTCTCTACACATTGCCAAATGTCCCCTGGGAGGCAAAAATCCCTCCCTTTTCAGAAGAACTATCTCTCTGGAGAAATAAAGCCTGGAAAAGCCAAAATACAACAGGTGTTAGCAGGCTGACACAGTTAATAAAGAGGGCTACATACTTCAGGTAGATCAACCCCAAATCTACATGCCTATGGAGGACTTGTCTATGCTGCTTGAGTGACACTAGTAAATGTTGTTTTTTGAAATCCAATGGTTAGAATTTCATAAAAGCTAAATTACACCAGTCTGGTCAAAATAAGGGGAAGAGAGGAAAAATGTCTACCGATGAGGGCAGTTGGTTTTATCTTTTGAACAATGGCTTCTAGGTTCTTCATTTCTTCATGTTCATGAGCAAACTCTTTCTTCTCTTGTGTTAAGGAAGCACGTCCCTAAGTAACACAAATAAGAAGAAATGAAAAATCTGCCAAATGTGTGGGTCAAAGACACTTCAGAATATTATACAGATTACTAGCATTTATACTTAGCATTTTTATGTACTATGAATGCTATCTGTTCTTAAACCCCTTCTTAAATTGTCAGAGTAGTATTTCACTCTTTCAACAAATATTTATGTGACACACAATGTTCTAAGTCATGGAGATACACAAAATGAAGTCTTTCTCTCATTTAATTATTTAATACTAAAAATCCTAATTCTACAGAAATTTGTGAGAAACTAATATTAACAAATGGTAATACAAAATAACACTTAAATAATGATATTGTTTATTACACGTTATTTGTATTTGCAGTGTCTCATAAGCTAGAGTGGTATTAGCTAAAGCAGTACCAATTTATGTACCACAGAGAACATGCCATAGGGCTAGGAACATGGTTCAAATGCCTGTCTGACAAATACAAGGCCCTGAGTTGCAACCCCAAAAGAAAAAGAATATGCCATGTGTTGTCCAGGGAACATCTAATTATAATATACTAGCAACAAATTGTTAAGATTTGACTATATAATAAATCACTGCCTAACTTTATATGGTAGTTTATGATTTACAAGTTATAGTCACATATTTCATTTGATCCCCTCAACAGTTTGGGGAAGTATAACTACAGTCATCTTGCATATAAGGAAACTGAAGTTCAGAGATTTTAAGCAACTTGCTGAAGACAAGGGATTGCCTAGAACTCAGTCTTCCATAATACCACAAAACTGCCCTGAAGGAAAAGCCTTACAAATGGGATATGTCAGGGTGTTTGCAAATTTTTAATCCCAAAAGTGGTACAATTTCCTTGCTTTACAAATTTATTGTCATTTTGTTTGTTTTTTAAAGCAATACATAAAATTCTAGAAAATATGAAACATATGAACCTCTTTGTGCTTGTTTCCTTATCTATAAATAAGGATAATAGGAATTTCTGATTTGTCAGGTTGACTGTGGATTAAATGAAATAATACAGGTAAAGCCCCATAGGACCATGCCTAGGTCAATATTAATTGCTATAATCAAAATTATTGTGAAGAACAAAAAATTCCAGCACAAAAAATTGGTACATTTTCTCCTAGTCTGCTGTAAAATGCTATTTCTGTACCACAGTTTTCCATTATGAACATAACATTAAATTGGATAGTCTTCTAAAACAGAACTCATGATTAGTCATTTCTTGATTCTAAGAGGTTATTTTTTTACCTTTTCTCTCAATACATCAAAATATATTACATCTGAGACAGTGCAAAAGAATCCTATTTAATTCATTTGGAGTCAAATTTTAAGCCTACTTCTTCATATTCCCTTCAGCAGAGAACACTAAAACTATTGAGTCTTTAGTAATACTAAGTTGAACATCTCTAATCCATATTCTTGTTCATGCTTACTACGGAACAAGTAGTATGATAAAAGAATCATAGTAGAATTCAATTTCTACTTTTATCAGGAAGCAACTAATTGTTCAATAAAACTAATCTATTGTCATTTTCTTTTTAGAATCAGTCACAGGTCCAGAAGAATAAAGAGATGACATAAACTAGTTCTTTGTGTGTGAGTATGTGTGCGTGCCTATGTGTCTACGTGGGTTGTGTATATATGTACTGCCAGGGTTCAAACCCACGGCCTCACATATGCTAGGCAACTGCTCTATGCTTGAGCAACACCCTCAACCCCCATAAACTGATTTTTAAAGCTGATTTTATAAACACTTAGTAAAAACTAACTAGTTTCAAACATTTGTGTTTGAGACAAGACTTTTAAAAACTGTCATTTAATAATATGAAAAAACAATGACAATACTAAAATCTTTACAATTCTCACAAAAGTTTCAGAGGGCAGGGGGGTAGTCCTAACTAGTTCACTCATACCTTTCTTAGTTTCATAGCTGGGAAATTAATTTCATTTTCATATCTCAATTCCAGAAATTAATTAGGCATCATTCTATCATGTAAAAAAGTGAATAAACTAATAAGTTTTCTACCACAAATTAGAAAGACAGGTATTTGAGGTGTCATTTCAGAATTCCTCTCAAATATTTTGACTATTATGAGACTTTATCTAGAATAAGTGGTAAATACAATTAGCCCCAATTCCTGACCATCCTGTGTTTATGTCAATGTTCTTTGCCAGGTAGCTCTGCAGTTCCTTCCACAAAAGGCAGCATATACAGATGATTCTCAACTTAAAATCAAATCATAGCCTAATACACCCAGCATCAGCTGAAAATATCTTAAGTCAAAACTGCACTAAATATACCTAACCCACAGAAGACCACAGCTTATCCCAGCCTACCTTAAACGAGCTCAGACTCTTCAAAGTCTATTTTGTATAAACTGTAATTTATCAAATCCAGTACTAAAAATGAAAAACAGAATGGTTGTTATGGGTGCCTTTTTGCACTATCATAAAGTTGAAAAATCATGTCAAACCATCAAGTCAGGGATGTCACCCCAATCCACTTTGGACTCGAACAAGGGTTGAGGCTGGAGGTGTAGCTCAAGCAATAGAGTGCCTGCGTAGCAAGTGCAAAACCCTGAACTTGAACCACACACACATACACACAGTGGTCTGAAATGAGAGTGATTCTCAAGTCAATGGCAATAGCAATAGTAGGTGCCTAGCTAATGCAGATTTATACAGCAAGAACTATTCTCAGGCCCCGAGCCATGTAATAAACCTCCTTACTCTGCCTTCAAAAACAAAAAGAACTGGTCTCAAAAACTCAATGTGAAGTTGACTTCTTCAAAAGTACAGCAATGTGCTCTTTAAAATGCTTCTTACAGGTAAGGAATCTTGTCTAATATATGCTACATTCTGTAACAGAGAAAAAACATCTCCAACTGGCTCTAGTCATCTCAATGAAATATTATAATCCTGAAGGTCCCTGAGAAGACAGCCATCGCTTAAAGAATAATAAATGAATCACAGGGATTGCTTTTTTGTGTGTCTGTTTTTTACTCTTCACCTGAAAAATATAAATATTATACAAATATGATGTAATAAATTTTCTAAAGTATCTACATATGTCACTTTCTTCTTCTTTTTGCTTTTTGTGGTGCTGGAGATGTAACTCAGGGCTTTGCAACATGCTAGCAAGTGCTCTACCACTGACTTATGCTTCAGTGACATACTCTATGTCAACACTATATCATATTATTTTTATGGTCAGATACTGAAAACCTTTTCCATGTTGTAACAGAGAACTGTAATTATCCATCAATATTCATTCTCTCCTTTTTAAAGTTTTTACTAGTTATCTATATTCTCTACTTTTTAATAATAACTTTTGCCTGTTTGCATGTGGCTACCCAGGTGAAGGCAGTATTCACTTAGTCTTTGTGCAGCTTGCAGAGGCATAAGACTATCTTCTGTCCAAAGGCATGGAATGGAAGTCATGGGTATAACTTCTGGTTTGTTTCCTACACAGGAATGAGGCACACCATCCAAACACATTCCCTGTGGCCCTCAGCTGGCTAGAAGACACGATGTAAAGCTATGATGTGAAGCTAAGGCTTCTTTGCACCAGCAGTGGATGGTGGGCACATCCTAAGTCACTTGTTGTCCTACAACTACACTCTTAGATAATCCCACTTCCAAAAAACCCAGTCCCCACATTTAACTTATTTAAATCAACATATTTTGGGATCTCCATTCATACAGTTCAATATAAATCCAAGTATCTTCATTTCAGACATGAAATGTATACAGCATGCAGGACACTGTCTTGACAAGCCTTTATCTTCCAGGAAAGCCAGTGACCAAACCACCAAAATCAAGAAAGTGTTTTGGTCATTTGGTCAGGCATGGTGGTACATTCTTATAATCCCAGCTGAGACAGGAGGATCACAAGTTAGAGGTCAGCCTGGGACACCTAGTGAGATCCTGTCTTGAAAAAAAAAATTCTCTACACAATTTTTAAAGATTTGTAGTAATGAAAATTCTGTATCATCTCCTTCTGTTCTTTTTTAGTCTCAAATTCTTGCTTACTGTAATTAAATTTTTTATTCAATTTTGTATCACAACACTTTAAAAAGTTTTGGTATTATTAACAAAGTAGGAATAGTAAAATTAGTTTTATTTGGGGTTTTGTGGGGTTTTTTTGCAGCCCTGGCATTTGAACTCAGGGCCTTGGGCTTGCTAGCAGGTGCTTTAGCACTTGAGCCAAACCCAAGCCCTTTTTGCTTTAGTTATTTTAGGATAAGGTCTTACATTTATGCCCAGGCTGGCCTGGACTACAATCCTATTTATGCTTCCCATGTAGCTGGGATTACAATCATGTACCACCAAGACCAGTTGTTGGTTGAGATGGGGGTCTTGCTAACTTTTTTGTCTGGGCTGGCCTTCAGCCATGATCATCCCAATGTCTACCTCTCAAGTACCTAGGATTACAGGCATAAGCCACTGCACCTGGTATAAGGATAGTTTTAAGAGGGAAATATGCTCTTTTTATGTGGGACAGGAGTTTGAACTCAGGGCCTACACCCTGAGTCACTCCATCAGCCCTTTTTTTGTGATGGGTTTTTCCCCTCCCCCCCCAGGTATGGTCTCATGAACTGTTTGCCTGAGGCTGGATTTGAACAGCGATCCTCCTGATCTCTGCCTCCTGAGTTGCTAGAATTATATGCATGAGCCACTGGCACCTGGCTATGCCATCTTTTTTTTTTTTAATTTCAAAAAATGTGTAGGCTCATTAAATAATAAAATTCTGCATGATTCATGGTAAAAACAGGAAGACTCACAATATGAATTAGAAGACTTAGCTCACAGCAAAACCTTGCTGAAAGCTCAACTGTGGGTGTCTCAGTGTGAACAGCCAGTTCCTTCTTTATTTGTTTCTCCCTTTGGTGGTATTGGGGTTTGAATTCAGGTTCTTTCACTTGCCAAGCAGGCACTCCACTACATAAGCTAACCAGTTTTGACCATTCAACTACTGACCAACAGCAAACAGTGTT